TTTTTTTTTTTTTTTTTTTTTTTTGGTTTTTTGCATGTCACAGCATTAAAAGTAATAGGATTATTTTAAATAATTTTAAAAATATCAAAATTAAGTTTAATGATTTTTTAAAAAAATTAAAAATATTTAATGGTAATATTTATAGGAAATCTTTTTATTAGTTTTTTCCCTTATGTATAGTTTGCAAAACAATTACTATCCTCAAATTTCCTATCTTGTGGATTTAAACTTGAACATATATATTTTATTTGAATTAGTTTGAATCTACCGATGGAACTTATATGTCCCAATTCAATGAGGAATTTCCAGCAACTGAGTTGATAGAAGATTCTATCTCTGCAGAGAACCAAGTAAGTCTTTATTCATTGTCGTAATAGAACCCTTATTTAAATCTATTAGTGTGTGTGTAAATTTTGTGAAAAGAAAGAATTAAAAACATAATAATTTACTATAAAAAAAAATTGCATGTGATTTTCATGTCATACTAGCTAGTTGATAATGTGGTGGTTCAAGTGACTATTAACATGACTTTCACATCATCACTTAACATAGTATTTAGGATTAAGATTGATCAAACTTTTGTTTAGAGATTAAAAATTTAGAGTCTAAATTTAAACACATGCACACGCACACACATATTCACTACTATTATGGAGAAATTACATATTATTATTCTCAAATTTCATTTCCTCCGGATCTAAAGTTGAACAAGTGCATTTTATTTGAATTAGTTTCAATCATTTGTGGATGAAACTGTTCAATTTCCATTCACATACACTGAGGAAATAGCTGCAACTGGGTTGATGGAAGCTCCTATCTCTACAGAGAACCAAGTAAGCTTTTATTCATTCTTATAATACAACTTTAATTTGCATATTTGTCAGTGAACGTGTTTGTATATATATGTAGTCACTATTTTAGAGGACTTTCCGTTGATTGTCAATAATCAACTTTTATTAGTTTTGTTGTCTAAAGAAAGAAACAATATACAAGAGGAACAAAAAAAAAAAAATCTCAATTCTCTTCTTACTTCAAAAACACTATTATTTGTAAACAGGGTGTGTTAAACCAAAAATAACTAGTTTATTTTTAAAAATTTTAAAATTTACCCATGCCATAAAGTTGATTCACTCGGCATTTTTTTTTAATACCATTTTGTCATATATTACAAAGGCTTATCGACTATACTAGTTTAGGTTCTAAAAGTTTCCCATTTTTTGGAATCAATAAAAAAATGTGCCATTACCCTCTATCGACTTGTAAGGTTCATTAAAAATTTGCTTCACAAGGGGCATAGACCAACGTACCATTTGGTACTAAAGTCAAAACTTCCCATGGGAGAATTTATTTTTAAGAGTATGACTGAATGAAGAATTTAAATAAATTAATTTTTTTAAGAATTTTAAATGTCTTAAATAAAATATTATGTTTGTATAAAGAATTTATAAAGAATTTAAAATTTAAACATTTGTAAAAATTTTTAAATTATTAAAATTTTAATTTTTTTTTTAAAAGTAAAAATTTGAAAATTTTCATATATTTTTTTCTTATCTCACTTATATATATATCATCTCTTTACTTTCTCTCTCTCTCCTATCTTTTATGTTTTCTTTTGTCTCTCTTTCTTCCATCTCTCATACTTTATTCTCTCTCCTTATTTCTTTTCTTTCTTCTTTCTCTAACTTTTATCTTTTTTTTTTTCTCCTATCTCTCTTTGGTCTCCTCTCTCT